ACTTTTTATAAATTTATTAACTTTTTATAATTCTACACATTGTTTACATTAGTAAATGATGTGTAGAAAATCATAAATGAATAATGAGAATAAAACTTTCCAAGAAGTAAATGATGTGTAGAAAATCATAAATGAATAATGAGAATAAAACTTTCCAAGAATAATTGTATAATAACTATTTTCTTTACAGATTAAAAGGCATTCAAATAAAAGATATACAAAATCTTAAAAGAAGAAAAGATGAAATGAGTCGTAATATTGAAGAATACGATTACAATATAAAACAGTTAGAAAGAGCTGTTTATAAGTAAGTATGAGTTTATAAAAATCACGTTTTTATAATACAGATTTATTATACATATGCTATCTCTATTAATGCTATCTTTAATTGTAAAAGTATTCAGGAATTGTATGCTCAAGAAAATGTCGATCAAAACGCATCCGTTGAAGACGAAATTTCGCTCCTCATAATAACGTCTAATGTGGTCACGAGGTCTTCCACGAGGGCTTCCTCAACTAAAAAATTGTAAGTATTATTTAAATTATATAATTTATAAATGATTAAAATGATTGAAATTGATGAATAACAACTAAACAAATAACAATGAACAAATTTTAATTTTTACAAATCACATTTACGAACACATTCCAGAAGGACATCTGCTCCGAAAAAACCTAAAAACGCGGCTCAACCAGATACCTCTAATGATGACATAACTCTATCAGCAATTGATAATTTGGAAACCAACGCTCAGATTGTTCAGAAGCCTTAACAGAATATCAATCAAATATTCAAGCTATTTTTATCAGCTATACCCGACAAATTGTTCCTGTATTATTTTTCTGTCTGTATATTTTATCAGCTATACCCAATAAAAAATTTTTCATACAATTTTTCATCAATTTATGCTTCTTTTCTTTGTAAAATTATTGTTTAATAGAAAATAATAATAAGAAAAAAACAAAAAATAATTAAAAGAATAATTTTTACATTTTTTTTTACAAAAAATTAAGTTTGAAGAAATGAGAAAAATTATATAATTTTATATAATCTCTTATATAATCTCTCTTATATAAGCTCTTATATAATCATATATATAAATAATTAAAAATATACATGTATAATTGTTATATATGACAAAATATGATATATATATATTATATATATATATATATATATTGTTACGCCCGTGTCTACGCCCGCGTCGTTCGATGTATTAGCGAGCCAGTCCAGCTGTCGGATGATTCCCTGACGACGCGTTGTCGTCTGTCAAACGGACGACATATTAGATTTGGAGATAAGCCGTCGTGCCGTGCGGACGTGCTTTGCTCTGCTCTATCTATTCGCTGCATTGTTTGTTCACAGTCATTACAATAAAGCGTGTTCCTTGTGTTCTTAATTGGTGTTCCTTTCTTATTTCCCCGCGGCTTTCCGGTGCGCGTGCGCGAACGCGAGTGCGGAAGCGCGAACGTTACGCGACCGAGTGCGTGATCGCGAGATTCACCGCCCCG